TTCTGATGTGCTAAGATCAATACACTAATTATTATTAACACAGAGTCAACACAACTAATGTGCTAATTAGCATCACACCTTAACTGATCAGAAGTAAAACACCACAGATCAGAGCCCTGGGAAAAGATGATGATGGAGAAGACTATATGATTGAGTAGGTTATTATTTCTCATGGAGGGACGGACTTGAACAGCTTGCAGGAGATGCTGTAAGCCTGCCTTTTCCCTGTACCTATTAAGGTATGAGCATTTTCTCACCTGGTGCCGTTTACAAACAGGTGTCCTGATTTCTGCTATGGAAGCGATTTTCATAGAGTAATCTAGCCTCTCTTTAGACAAACACAAGAGCTGGGTAGGAGTTTCCTTTAATTTTCTGAATTACCAGATCCATGGGAGGAAAACATAGTTCCCCACAGAAGTGTTCCCATGAGTCTTGTGTCATAATCAGGTGCCAGCCCAAGCTTCCCCCAAGGGGACTGTGAAAGCACAGGGTGAAGTCGGTGGCTCAGCCTGTAATCCCACGCCTTTGGGAGGCTGAGGTGAGTGGATTGCCTGAGCCCGCGGGTTCGAGACCCGCCTGGGCAGGCGAGACCTCATCTCTACAATAAATCAAGAAATTAGCCGGGTGTGGTAGCGTGCGCCTGTAATTCTGGCTACTTGGAAGGCTGAGGCGGAAGGATCGCTGGAGCCCAGCAGGTCGAGGCTGCGGTGGCCGGGAGTGGCCACTGCACTCCAGTCTGAGCGACAGAGTGAGACTCCAACTCAAAAAAAAAAAAAAAAAAAAGAACGCACAGGGTGAAATTCCATCTTGGAGCTGAAATATATCCTAAAGCTCTCCAGAGATCAAAGCTATCAGCAACAGCCAGTTTCCCTGACAGAGTGTGACACTCCTCTCTGGCATAGATCACTTCCTTCTAAGCCTAGTGTACAGGGTACACTCTAGGAGTTACCCAGCACCCGGCTTTCATTTATTCTGCTAGTAAGTCTTTACTGAATGGCTGATATGTGCCGAGAGTGAGTCCAACAAAAAAGGAAACACACACACACATTGAACACATAACACTGAGTTTGTCAATTGGATATTTTTCCCCAACTTGTTCCTAATCACCTTCATTTTCCTGACAACATTGCTCTTCCTTAATTATAAACTGTTCACAGCTTAAATCAGGCAGGGCTTCTTAACTCCCTCTATGAAAAATCTGGCATCTCTTCGGTTTTTTTGTTTGTTTGAACTGGGGTCTCATTGTGTTGCCCAGGCTGGCGTGCAGTGGCAGCCTCAACTCCTGAGCTCAAGTGATCCTCCCTCCTCTGTCTCCCAAGTAGCTGGGACTACAGGTGCATGGCACTATGTCCCATCTTTTTTGTTTTTTTTTTACAGAGATGAGATCTCACTATGTTGCCTAGCCTGGTCTCAAACTCCTGGGCTCAAGCAATCCTCCTGCCTTGGTCTCCTAAAGTACTGGGATTACAAGCACCCAGCCTCACATCTCTTTTTGAGGAAGAATTTTATTTCTTCCCACAGGTTCTGAAAGAGGAACAAGTCCCCCAGTGAAAGGCTGATGGACACACACACATGTAACCATGTCTATCTTGTTTTTAAAAGAAATATCAGTTCTTTTCTTATAAACCCTCCCCAGTGTTTCTATTTAGAAATCCTGACCTTGAATAAGTGTTTCCTTTCATCTCCTATTACAAGTCTTTCCTCTCTTTTAATTTATGCTCATCTTCTCCTTGTAAGGGATAGATTGAATTATCATCCCCTTGTAAAAATAATCATCGTCTGGGGCAAGTTACCCATATAGCCTACCAAGATTTGTGAATCATTTACCCAAGCTGGTTTACAGAATGTGGATTTCAGAAGAATCAGGACAAGTCATGGTCAAGGAATCAGTTTAACTAGATTGAATTCCCAGAAAACGTTCTGTGGTAAGGTCGAGGGAAGCACTTTCTTCGTGGACATTAAGCCTTCTGCTTCTGTATCCCCTCCACATTCTCTTGGCTTCAGACGGAAGGTGGGAACAGCAATCTGAACCACGGTTAAAAGCTAAATGAGGCAGCCCTCCGCTAACAGCCGATGGCTTCATTTTTAAGCACCTAATTATCTCTAAGAAGTAAAGTACCCAAACAACCATGTTGGTTTCAGAGAATGCAGCCTCCTGCAAGCTCAGTTCATCTCCGTTCAAGTTGGCTGTGCCTCCTCTTCATCCTCCTTCTCCCCTCCTGGACTCTGGCTGGCTTTCTCAGTTTGAAGTCTTCGGCAGAGTTTCTGGTAAACTGCAATGCTTATCAACCAGCCTCCTTATCCTTGGGGGCGTATTAAATATCAGATGAAAACACTGCAGAATTGGACAAGCAATAATTTAGTTTTACAATAATTTCTAATGATTAGAGCAAGCCGATTTCCACTTGCAGCAGTTGGAGGTGAACAGGAAAAACTGAGATGAGCTCACCGGCTCTTATTTGGTTTTCGAGTGTCTGGGAACAGAATGTGATCTGCAAGCCGCGTTGTCCAAAGAATACAAAAAGAGACGCAAGTCAGTGCAGCCCTTGTACTGAGCTTAGTTGTCTTTTTACCAAATCATGCTGTTCAAGATTGTCTCTCCGGTTGTTTTTTCCAAGGTGGCTCTTATCCGCTCCAGCTGTCACTGACCAAAGGTACTCTGTCAAGGGAGAGTCAAACAGTGATTAAGTGGGAAGTGTGATTGGAGACACTGGGAAGACAGACTGACTACTTTAGCACCGTAGTCAGGTCTTTCAACACATATGAGACTAACTGACTCTCTCCATGTGACACTTAACAATGACCTAGAAGCTGAATGTCCAGCCACTACCCAAAGAGACCACAGAGAAGGCACACCCTGGCAGTTTTTGTAAGCCAACTGCTTCAAAAATAATGGCCACCAAGAAAATCAATTGGTCAAATGTCTCCACATCATATGCTAAGTCTTCCAGTCTTTCATTCTTCTTTTTTTTTTTTTTCCTTAAAGCAATCACCTATGTCATGCTAAGAGTTTGACATTGCCCACTTTACTATCTTGGAGGAAAAATATATTATTTTTTCATTCATTCACACATTCAACCAACAAACAGTTATAGAGACACTGAATTTGGCACTGGTGTACAGCAATGAATAAGATATAGAACTTTCATTCTGGTTGGAGAGAAAGACAATAAGCAAGTAAACAAATAAACAAGGTAATTAGACATTGTGATAATACTGTGAAGGAAAGAGTGTGAGGAGGAAAAATGGTGATGGCTATTTTAGGTTAGGTAGTTCTCACTTGCTGTTGAAGAAGAAAATAGAAAGACTCAGAAATGTATACCAGTGTATGAGACTTACCGTGTGGAGTTCTGGGACTTACTTATTATTTGGTTAGTTTCTCAAATGAAGGTGGTTACTTATCCAGAGTTAGAAAGGGGACACTTTCTCAACATCAGTGATGGGTAAAACTCTTATCCCTATGGTTCCAGTGAAGGCCCTTATCTGGGTCCAATTAACCAGGGGGACGTGAGAGCTCTGGAGAATAACTCTGACAGAAGACTTAATACTATTATTAACCGTCACCTTTAACATTTTTTCATCATGAAGAGCTAACCCCATATGAAGAATAATAGAGACAGTATCCATATATAAGCAGAACTCCTAAGGGTCTCTGCTATAAACATTGTGCATCAACAGGTGGTCAGCCACTCACTAACATTAAAATTGACTGCACTGGCCAGGCTCAGTGGCTCAGCCTGTAATCCCAGCACTTTGGGAGACCGAGGCAAGTGGATTGCCTGAGCCCATGGGTTTGAGACCAGCCCGGGCAAATGGCGAGACCTCGTCTCTACAATAAATCAAAAATTAGCTGGGCATGGTAGCGTGTGCCTGTAATTCCCACTACTTGGAATGTTGAGGTGGAAGGATCACCAGAGCCCAGGAGGTCGATGCTGGGGTGGCCGTGAGTGTGCCACTGCACTCCAGCCTGGGTGACAGTGAGACTCCAACTCAAAAAAAAAAAAGTTGACTAGGCTTTGTTGTGAGTTATTCTCAACATGTAAATTTGGATCATTTATAACAAGGATATATATGCCCTTTTTTTCTTTTTAGATAACTTTGTTCTTGAAAACTGTGAGGAAAAGGCCAATTTCAAAATCCTTCATTCATTTGTAGGGAATTTTATTTCAAAATAAAATAAAATAACTGTGTAACTTAAATTGCTTCAAAAATATTTTACTCTCAAATACTCAATATGTTTTTAAAATGGAAAGATCAATGTGGCATCAGACTTCTTCCATGGAAGGTATAGTCTTTAATCTTATCTGCCTAAACATTCCCCTACCACACACATACACACACATACACAATATGATTGTCAGATAAAATACAGGCAACCCAATTAAATTTTAATGTCAGATAAACAAACAACTTTTTTACAAGAGAATTTTTTTTTAATTGCATGGAAATACTTATACTACAAAATGTATTCGTTGTTTATCTGAAATTCAAATTTAATTGGCATCCTGGATTTTCACTTGCTGAATCTTACCTTACCCAAGAAAAGGTCTGAATCTCTGACCATCTTCATCAAATTGCCATCCTACTGCCTTCATTTCATTCCTGACTTAAGCCCAGTCTTCAAAAGTAAATGGGAATATTGATCAACATTGAGAAATAAAATTTAAATCAGTTGGTATTGAAGAGGACTGAAAAATACAATTGCTTATGGCCAGGAAAATAGAAAATTTATGCAACTTTTGTGAAATTTAGACATGCAAACTAGATCATAAGCATGCTCTTTTCAAAAACTTCTGTCATAATTATGTATAAATCTTGCACAACTGAAACCTAGAATGTTCTGAGTGCTTAAGCCAGAAGAAGGTAAAGCATCTTCTAAATTCTTGAAAATCAGTTTATAGCTAGGGAGACCATGGTTACATTTTATGCTTGTATTTGTTCTAATTTGGTGTGATTGCTTAAACTCACCTAATTCATTCTCTCCATCTTTCTCTCTCTAGTTACCTAAACAAGAATAAATACCTGACAGTTATTGACAAAGATGCATTTGGAGGAGTATACAGTGGACCTACCTTACTGTGAGTAAGACATACAAAAGAATATTTTAGTCTTTTTTTACTTTTGTGAAAGAGACAGAGACACTAAGAGGAAAAACTAATGTTCAGGGGTAGACAATGTTGTCTCAGGTAAAGGCTTCTTCTAGTCTTTTTCTGCCTGACTGTCTAGGCTGCTTCTTGGAAAAAGGTCCTTGTTCTTTGAAACTCAGATGGCCCCCAGCTATCCTGATGCCTGATCTGACAGCTGCCCTGGTGTGATCGTTCATGGAGGCCCTGTGTTTTTGGCAGCTGCTGTTTGCAAAGCTTTGAAACACGAGGCCTACAAATAAAGTCACTCTGGTCTTTGCAGAGAAAATGTATACGAACGTACATTGCATAATGTCTAGCACAAAGAAGGAAGACTATAAGTGACGGTTTGATTCACATCTGGGAAGAAATTACCATCATGGGGGGAGATGAGATATCAACTTCTTAAACACAGCATGAAAATGTACCTATTCACACATTTCCTCTGATGGACACCCCTGCGTCTAATCAGTGATCGGAGTCAGTTGATTTTGTTTATCATCACCAACTTCCTCAATCCCTCGGTTTTGCCTTAGTTTAGAATCTCTAGTCTTGTCCTTGTCAGAGTGGAACACAGCGCCCCACAGATACACAAGACAACCCAATAGGGGCAAGAAGAAACATTAGAGGCTTTATGTAGGCTTTACACTTTTAAAAACAAGAACAAATTATGTTCTATTAATATCTTGTATACAGACGGCCACTGTCCCTCAGGTGTCAGGTAGGGAACGAACACATCCTGAGAGAAGAGATGACCCACAGTCCTGAGGACTCGATTCTTTCACTCTTTCACCTTCAACCATTTTATTTCACTTTTAGATCGAAAGCACCCAGCTAAGCATGTTTACTCTCCTGCTCTCTTACTACATGGGCACCATTTAAGAGGTCAGAGTGACCTTGAAAATCTGCTGTACGATGTGGGGGCTCACTGTTCACTCGTGACAAAGTACTTACAAGTATTATGCAATTTTCTTTTTACCAAAAGACAAGCGAAATAGAATGTATGAACCTTTTCTGTGGTGAGTACCTGTCCATATTTTTTTTAACCTGACATTTTCCAATAACATCCTTATCTGCTTCTTCAAGATAAAGGTGATATTTGCCAATGAATAAGGAAAAGTCATTGCTTTTTGGAAGAAATGCATGCTTTGGAAAAAACCTTTAGGAACAGGTATTTGGGAACATTCCCATATTATGTGATTTTCTTGATGAAACTAGTGAATGCCATTAAAATTCTGTTTTGCTGAAATCAGAAATCGAATTTTAACCTGTTTAAAAATCTTTCAAATGAAGTTTGTCATGAACTAAATTCCTCCCAAAATTCAAATGTTGAAACCTTAACCTTCTGTACCTCAGAATGTGACTTTATTTGGAGATAGGGTCTTTAAAGAGGTAATTAAATTAAAATGAGGCTGTTGGGGTAAACCCTAATTCAACCTGACTGATAGTCTTATAAAAAGAAGATATTAGGACATAGAGACACCAGGGGTGGGAGCACATAGAGGAAAGGTCACGTAAGGACATAGCAAGAAGGCGGCCATCTGCATACCAAGGAGAGAGGCCTCACAAGAAACCCAACCTGCTGATACCTTAGTCTTGGATTTGCAGCCTCCAGAACTGTAAGAAATAAATTTTGGTTGTTTAAACCACCCAATCTGTGGTATTTTGCTACCACAGCTCTAAGAAAGTAATACAGAGTTACATTAGGTTTAAAATCCATGTGTATAAAATATGAAAATGAAATGTCTTCAGATTCATTTGCAAAAACAACTGATTGACATCAGAGAACACGAATTTCCACAAAACATGTACATAATTACTGAATTAGGCTGAAAAATGAGAACCTTAATTTGGTAAGTGCAAGCAGGCCTAAAAAATAAAAATAAATTAATGCCTGTTTGTGGAACGGGGCTCGGTGGCTCAGCCTGTAATCCCAGCACTTTGGGAGGCCTAGGCGAGTGGATTGCCTGAGCCCACGGGTTCAAGACCCACCTGGGCAACTTGGTGAGATCTCACCTCAACAATAAAGTTAAATTAAAAATTATCCAGACATGGTAGTGCATGCCTGTAGTTCTGGCTACTTGGAAGGCTGGGGCAGACAGATCACCAGAGCCCAGCAGGTTGACGCTAGGGTGGCTATGAGTGTGCCACGGCACTCCATCCTGGGCGACAGAGTGAGATTCCAACTCAAAAAAAAAAAAAATACCTATATTTGTTTGCTAACTTTTTCAACTGAGATGGCCATTTAAGCCAAAACCAAAATAAACTGAACCAGATGCAGACTTCAAATAACCCCGTATCAGAAAGGGTTAAAAATGATTTTCCAAACTAACTACACATATCTGATAATATTGCTTTCATTTTAGTGAATTTTTGAATTATCTTCATCATATCCTTTTAAAACATATGTTTAATGTATTATAATGTGTAAAATATAGTATTATAGAAATACCTGTATAGAGCTCATGAATATTTATGTCGGCAGTACATACTCAAATATTTTTTATATATAAATATGTGCGATTGAAAGAATTCGAAGACCAATAGTGTAAGCCAGAACCACTCAAAGTGAATCCAATACAAGGTGAATGGCTGCTTCAGAATGTACATCAAAGCACAGCATTTTCTATGGAGTCTTGCCAGGAAATTTAAGTCAGTCAAATGAGGGTGTTGAGGTGAACCCTAATTCAATTTAACTAAAATCCTTATAAGAAGAGATTTAGGCCAGGCACAGTGGCTCAAGCCTGTAATCTCAGCACTTTGGGAGGCCAAGGCAAGAGGATTGCCTGAGCCCAGGGATTCGAGACCAGTCTGGATAACTTGGTGAGACCTCGTCTCTATGATAAATCAGAAAAATTAGCCAGGCACTGTAGCATGCACCTGTAGTTCCAGCGACTTGGAAGCTGAGGCAGAAGGATTGCCTGAGTCCAGCAAGTTGAGACTGTGGTAGCTATTAGCACGCCACTGCACTCCAGCCTGGGCAACAGGGTGAGACTCCAACTCAAAAAAAAAAAAAGAGGAGATGGACATACACAGAACACCAGGGATGGGTACTCACAGAGGAAAAGCCACATGAGGGCACAGGAAGATGGCAGTCATCTGCAGGCATGCTTAGTGTGCTTAGTGAAGAAGTTGGTTTACATCATCCAGCATAAGCTTCTTACCCTGTCAAGGACTGATAAGAAACCACTGGTGGGTGGTACCACACTTGAAGTAGCAAATCCACTCTCACCAAACCTCCTCGAGTTCATATGCAAATAGAATCTTAAACCCAACGCTGACCTTCCACTCCCCCTCAATATCGAGGTCTTGGTGTGACATTCGAGGCCCTGCTACAGTCTTCAGCTTTGTCTTTCATGCTACTTTATACCCTTGACCAATGGTCAATTCATTTTGAACTTCTTAGCTCCCCTAATTCTCCAACCTACTTATTCTGCTATGCTAAACTCTTGCTCTTCCTACTACCTGGAAAATCCTTCTGCAATTGTATCTGTCTAATGAGCACCTACTGACATTTTGATATTCAAGTCAAGGTCGCCTCTCATTATGTCTTTCTTGGCCCTCTTTTCCCTTGGGTAAAAACTGACCACTTCTTTCTCTGTAAACCACCATACCCTATATATGGATTTCATTCACCAGGAACATGTCTTTACCTATCTCTCCTGTAGATCGTAGAGGGCAGGGGCTACCTGTTTTATTTCTGCAGTTCTAGTTCATATCACAATGCCTGAAATACAGTATGAGCTTAATGCAGATTTGTGAAATTAATATAGCATGCAATAAATAATTAAATCAATTCTGTAAACACTCCAGCATTTAAATAAGAGTCACATTTTAAAGATAGTTTAGCACGTTGTCTACTTCTTTGGAAGTAATCAATTAGACTACATATTTGTTTGAACTGCTTAAAGGTTGTTTTTGATATTTATGGCAAGATTTTCTACAAGCCTCTATAGCTATGTTAAGAACAGATATGCAACTGCTTGAAAATGCTTCCCTTCCTTCTGGTGTTTCTTCCATTCATGTTGTGGAAAGTGAATGAGAAAAGGAGTTGCACCTGGACTTCACTCTCAGCTCTATCACTTACACACTGAAAGACCCAAGTCTCAATTTTCTCATCTGTCAAAATATAAGTAAAAGTAAGGAAGTTTAAATAAATACTTATAAATCAAAAGGCTATAAGTAATGAATGTACATTAAGACCTTTTTCCTGATTTTTGACTCTTCATTATTCTGATCTCCTCTAACCTCTTTGATCACTCCATCCCAACTTCACTCATTAGTTCACTGCACCATTCCTTAAAATGAGTTCAGTCCTGGGTCCTGGCTCTTTCTCTGTTTAAATCCTTTGGTTAAATCATCCACTCTCAAATATCATGGGAATTTGAACAGTTTCTAAATTTCAGGTCTCAGATCTTAGCTCTTAACCATCTCACTCATCTGGAATTCTCTCCCTGCTCCCTCTCATTCCTATCCATTCCCATCAGTCTAGTTATATTCTCCCTAACCAACCTTTGAAAAGTACAGTAAACATTAACTGAGGACTCGCTACACTTGGGACTCTTTACAGGGGAAAGCCACTGTTTTAAATAATGGTCAGGGAAAACATCATTGAAAAGGTGGCAATTCGGCCGGGCGCAGTGGCTCACGCCTATAATCCCAGCACTTTGGGAGACCGAGGTGAGAGGATTGCCTCACCCCACAGGTTCAAGACCAGCCTTGGCAACTTGGCGAGACCTCATCTCTGCAATAAATCAAAAAATTAGCTGGGCATGGTGGCGCGTGCCTGTAGTTCCAGCTACTTGGAAGGCTGAGGTGGAAGGATCACCTGAACCCAGCAGGTTGAGGCTGCGGTGGCCAGAGCGTGCCACTGCTCTCCAGCCTGGGCGACAGAGTGAGATTCCAACGAAAGAAGAAAGAAAAAGAAAGAAAGAAAGGAAGGAAGGAAAGAAGGA